TTTAGTAAATTTTATCCTCAGCTTTTTAATTTTTTCAATTGAGTCCCTTTCTTGTTTTTTTTCTTCAACTTCTCCCCCAAATTTTTCATAAAATTTTTTATAACGATAAATTCGAAACGGTACGCGAAAAATTCCAGTATCCGGTACTTACCGTTCCAGTAACAAAACCGGTACGCATGCCGGTACGGTATTGACTACTTTGATTTGCACGCGTCAAAAGGTTATAGCCCATGCAAGGTTATCATACTTGGATAGCGCAGCGAGTGGTCGCTCTTTAATCTCTATCCCAACTCAACTCAATATTATGGGCATAAACCTACTTCTAACCTTTTATTTTAATAAATTTGTAAATTTTAACCTTTTATATTATATTATGATATTTTTAATTTCTCGTTTATAAGAATTGAAAAAAATAGTCCTTATTTAATATATTAGCTAATTGTTAGTTTTATTAATTGACTGTTAACTTTATTAGTTGACTGTTAGTATTTCGTTATAGAAAATTTAAAAATTAAATTAAATTTTATTTGTTAGTTTCGTTAATGAAATATTAATAGTCAACTAACAGAGTTAACAATTAGCTAATAGAACTAACATTTAACTTACAGAACTAATAATCAACTAACAAAATTAACAAACGTTATAACATGGCGTTAAGTAAAAGTTATTTTATTCAATTCATATAAGTTTCGGGTTAAAAATGTCATAATAAAAGGTAAGGGGTTAAAACCTATAAATTTATTTAGATAAAGGATTAAAAGTAGGTTTTTACCCAATATTGTGGAGGAAAGACTCAAGTCTCATCCTGTTCTTCAGGGACAGCTATTTTCTGGCTGCCACTAGTTTCTCTTTTTCAGCCACTATGTAGTTTATAGAATAGAAGGCAACAACAACTCATTAAGAATGGAGATATAGAATGCATGAGATTTTAGATCCAGGGAACAAAATCATCTGAATTTGAATTTTATCGCTTATAATAACCAAACTGTAAGGGTTTATAAATACATATATCATCCCGAGACGGATAATGGCCATTTTGAAGTTTTGGGACGATAGTTAATCATCCCCTGTAAAAACCATACAAAGAAATTGCAGCAAGCTATTTCTTTAGTGTGGGGGGGGGGGTGTTTGGCTTGCTATTTTCTTGATGTTTCTGATGACAAGACGGGATGCATCAATGGCATCCCCATCCCTAATGTAACTCACGAGTCTTGTTAAAAAAAATGAAAAACTCAACAATTGGAATTTTATGTCTAATCAAGTCAAAATTGTTTCTAAAACTCATATTGCAATGACCAACATGACCCAAGAAAATTCAGCTGGTTCCCAGAAATCTGCATCATACTATCCCAAAGGCTTCTGGTCGAACTATTTGGCATTGCCAATTGAACTACTTCAGAGTAACTTGTTGGTCATCATCATCTGTACCAAAATATCGGTCTCCAAACTCTCCCATGCCGGGAATAATACAAAAATCTTCATTTAGACCGATATCAATCTCAGATGTCACTATCTTTATTCTTGGGAAGCTTTTGCACACCACATGCACACCCTGGGGTGCCTGGTAAATCAAGAGTGTTGGGTTTTTTAAAGCAAAGAAAGAAAAAAAATGGAGAGAACCGAGAGGAAGAAGATGAAGAGCAGAGCACATAAAATGGAGAGGAGTATATCACTCCAACTCAGAGATATCATTGATATTTTGCTATATTTATAGCAAAAACAACATAATAAAAAATAATTTTCTCACCTAATATTTTAACCCATACAAAAGCATTTAAAACAAAAGATTACATTCAAAGATTTACTGCCATTTCGTGCAGCTCCATGTTGTTGTACTGTGCTGCTATTTGCAGCCTTTCATTTGCATTTGCATTTGCATTTCATTTTCTGTTCATTTCAGCCTCATTTCCACAACATTTGCAACTTTAGCTTGCTGCACTTTGCTGCTACCGTACTATTGGTGCAGTTCTCCCTTCATTTTGCTGCCATTTTGTGCAGCCTTTCATTTTCATTTGCTGCTACTTTTGCAGCTTGAACACCACAACTCTAACA